TAGTCCCAGCAGGGTTTTTACCTTCGACACTGGTGTGGAACGATGCGCTAGCCCTAGTCAAGAACATAAGAAGTGTGACTGAACAAAAAACTCACCTTGGAAAGCCGCTAGAAAGGGAGCTGAACGGCTTCGAAGTGGGCGTGGTTGGAATCGGCCGAGGGGATTGCAGCCGACTGAGCAACCACGCCCACTTCGAAGCCGTTCAGCTCCCTTTCTAAGGTGAGTTTTTGTTCAGTCACACTTCTTATGTTCTTGACTAGGGCTAGCGCATCGTTCCACACCATTAGTGTTGAAGGTGAAAAACCCTGCTGGGGCTGTTGCTTTGAGAAGAAAATTCTTGATCTCCTTTCTGATCGCAATTCAAAAGATAAGTTAGATCTGTGTTGTGTTACCATATAGGAAAGGAACTGATGTCGGCTTACCTCTCTGACCGTGAAATGATTGCCCATATCATTCCGCATATTCCAATGGCGAAAACGGTGCGGAATGTTGCGGTATAGTAGAGGTTGTAGTATTGTAGTTGGTCACCGAACCAGTATTGTGGCAGAATCGCGTAGATTACTGCGACTGAGAGCCCGAAGAATGCACTCGCAATGCAACGTGACTTGTGACGGTTCAGACAGGGTTTCAAACTCATGCTGGCGGTTCCTAGCAACATCCCAAGTATGAACGGACCGCATTTCGTATACGGACGAGAGTACATCTCCCATAAACCGCCATAGATGCTGCTCAATGTTGCCGGATCTTGTCCAGGATACGAGATGAACTGAAATATTAGGTTTGAGAGAGGACTTCGGAAGTGGTGCAAAGTTCACAGAATTCTGTGGGTAGGTAGTCGTGCGATACAGCATCTGACTTTTTTTGAGATTATAAGCCTTGAAGTCTCTACTCACCGGTATATCTACATCACTCTTGTGGCAGACACCATATGAGCTACAGTATCCTGCTCGAATGAACATTGACATGGTGATCAGTATCACGCAGAGCATTTTCCCCATAGCAGGTTGTTTGTAGAGGGTGTGTAGCAGGAACGGGGCCATGATATAGAGTTGCATATCCAGTCCGATATACCACAAATAACCCAGACAGGTGGGCGTGGATTGCCAGTTGCCCAGAAGTGCGAGATGTGATGTGATTCCCGTTGCGCCACATGCAGAAATCATGGAAGAATGGAATCTGGAAAATTTGAAATATGACGGTATTCGGAAGAAACCATTGGGAGCAGTTTTGATCGTTGGTTGTTCATTCGTGTGGCAGTGAAGCAATCTGCACAATTGCACGTCAGTACAATCCCATTACCCCACAGTTTCTTATTTCCTCCCCTCCTTATCATCTTGACAAGTGCTACCACTTCACTAACACAGCGACTTAGCACTTGAGTAGCCCTTTTGCTCACCTCGGCAAGAAGTGTTTCGTGATGGGACCTGCGAATATATACATGAAGAAAAGGACTGATGGAAGAAGTCGAAGAATTCTTCGAATCAAGAATGTCCTGTAATGACGGGCGAAGGGCTGATCAGCTTTCCTCAGCCACGTTCGGGCGCATAGCAGTCCGGAAAGCACGAGGAAGATCTCGACGCCAAGTGCCGAATTGCCTAGCAATGCACCGAATATTGGATGATTGTGCATTGCATGCTGAAAACGAGTTCATTAATGGCAATGAGAAGAAATTCGAAACGAGAAGTTCCCTCTCAAGAGAACCTAACGTTGCAGAAAAACATTCAGTATGACTGGATTTGTACATATATACACTTTCTCATACATACACAAAGTGACTGCTCACCTTGAATTTCTCAGCTGACGGTAGTCGTTCAAGAATATCGATTCGTCCTTCGCTACCGGTATGGTTGACCATCACCCAAATGATGGCGAGTACTCGAAACACGTCTAGGATGTCCAGTTGCGAATGACGTTCCATCGTCAGCTCTTTGAACGAACGACGAAGACTTAGGGAAGAGAATACTGAAGCGACGTTGATTGTACCGTAGATCACCTGAAATCACACTAAATCAGTGGGACTACATAGACTTTTGGATGAATTGGATGAAGCAAGGTTATGTCAACTTCCGATGGAACACCTAGATAAATATTTGCTGATGTTCAAACTTTGAACTCACAGCAGCGATCCATAGGACGATTGGGACCATGGCCCATACATAGTCTTCAGAAATGAAGTGCTGAGCGCTCGACATCAGACAGAAGGATTCATTCGGGTCAACCGGAATTCGAATTTCACGAAACTGAAGTACACCTTCTGTCATCATTTCGTTCGTGTCGTTTTGGGAAATGATTTTCGACTTGCGATCGTTCGTTGACTGGAAAGGGCGAGTTTTTTAGTGACGAAGTGAGTGGAGTTTATTAGTCACCACGACTACGCTGAGATCTCGATCAATACTGATAACGATAAGGAACAGTGAAATATGAAATGTACTGTGTGCCAACTGATATTGAGAACTAGGAGCAAGCGTCCATCCAACGTGGAGTTACGATTTCAAACATTTCTGGAGGATTTTTCGATATGAAAAAATTGTAAATATCTACACTGATATAAACACACTAAGGGAATCGCTTAGGCCGCAGAGTGAAGGATTGCTAACATCACTTATCACCCGTTGCTCATCGAGCGGGCGCTGGCAACCACGTGCCAAAGTACACATCAAATTCTCCTTCATTGGAAGATGCGAGGCGAACAACTGTTTGGCACAAAGCCTGAGCATAGACTGGAGTTTATTTTGGAGTTCATTTGGCAGCCGAAGAGCTCAAGTCGGTGATCAGTGGTCCAGCGGTTATCGCCGAACCGCTTGGCGTGTCCATATGACCGATCTCCAACTCCTGGCAAACACTGCGGCCACTCTGGTTTCGATCCACGATTGAGCTTAGTACGTCCACCTCCCTTCTGCACTTACCTGTACCGGAAAACTGGTATTTGTATTCCCTTAGCGCCGTGAGTAATGATAACAGTAGCGCATGTTTGTCCGGTTTATGCGCAGTTCAGAAAGGGCGGCTCAGTCACGTAGAAAAATGGCTTTCAGGTGTTCCTCTTCGTCCTGACTGCTCGTTCTATGTTCCTAAATTCCTTGTCTCAAACAATGTTAAGAATATAGATAGGATAGGGAATCTACACTGACAATTGGTCAACAACACTATAACTTCGAGCGTTCCATACTGCAGCTTCCCCATACTTCGGCAGAATTTATTTGTCCTAGAGTGAATCCGAGAATAAAATGTACAAAAACCAAATGATTTGGGGAGATTTCAGAGTTTATAAGTTTTGTTGCTTTCCAGTGGTTGTCGGTCATCAACCAATGGTCCACTTGACCTTATTACATGTGAAAGGAATGATGATGTTAGAGTCCAGGCATGGATATTGTTGCAATTGTTATTATTTTTATTATATCTATTATCATCATTGCATCATTGTTGTTATTAACACATGTTATTGCATTGTTAGAGCGAATGTCATTCCTGCGAACTCGGCAAACTGGTTCGGCAAAAATGGGATGCAAAATGAAGTCATTCCCGAGTTAACCATTTTTGATGGGCAATAACTGGGAAACAAAACAGTATCGATAAGAAATTCACCTCGATTTTTGGAGAGAAAGGTTCGCCATAAAACTGGATTAGGCTGAAACGAAGACTGTGGTGGGGTCAAGTTGAAAGGAATCAAGTATTTGGAGAGTAGTGTTGCGCCAGGTATTCTACTTCCTTTCAGAATCGTAATAACACTCTGGATGAGGAAATTAGTCTGCGCAGTGAATTACAGGGCCAACCGATGTACAAGTCATGTCTTTATCTTCTGAAACAATTCTCGTGACAACTAACCAACCGCGGAGGTGAAGTGTTGGTTGGCTTCGACTATGCACGATCCAGAATTTAATGTCGAACCGTGCGGGTAGTAAGCACCACTACTTGCCGCTCGCCACCTCTGCCCTCTTTCGGAATAAGTAGTGTAGTTACGAATGCTCTTTTATCAGAGTCACCGACTCCGAAACACTCGGGCCGACTCTGAAACAATCGCTCTCCTGGAAGGAGGTCTAGAGGTTTAGGCCGCTCTCCTCTTGATATAGTGCAGTTAAGCCTGATCAGCCTGAGACGTTCTTCCGCAGTAAATTCTGTCAAAGGGGGTGTGTAACAACATAAAGGGTGGAAACCGCAAAATTTCGCGATTTCCCTTTCTCAGAAACGCCTCTCGATCCTCAGAAAAAACCCTTTATTCCAATGTCTTCCAAATTTACAGTCCCAGCTCCACCAACAGCGATCACCGCCCGAAGCTAAACACAGCTTGAACCCTCTAGGCCACCACCTAATAGTGCACGACGTGTTCTACCATGCTCGCAGTTATTTTCAAGGGCGTACAACGATTTAATGAGGACAAATCACAAGAGAAAAATAGCAAGAGAAAAGTATAACCTAACATGCTGTGTTCGGTGGGGATTTCAGAAACGCTCTATGTGAGATGAGTAGGAAAGATGCCCAATGAGCGGACTTCGAACAGTTGAGGGTGCAAGGTGTTGATATGCTTAATAGACACTTGAAGAAGCGAGGAGCCCAGTTTGATCGGGGCAAATATGAGTTGTGATGCGCGACCACTGAGGAATCTGTTGGTGTGGAACTGTACGATAAGAACGAACAGTAAGTAGAGTTGTTCTATCGAGCAGGTCTTAAGTATCGGCCTCAGAAGTGGTCGCGATGGGCGGAGCGAGCCTGTATTTTCGCGAAAGTCACGTAGTCGCTAATTGTGCGTACGTGACTTCTGAGAGAATCGACGGCGCTTATCAGCGCCGATCGACTGGTTCTGTCCGTCTTCGTTGGTCTTGTCACTGTTATAGTCAGCAGCCGCAGTTTCGAACTTTCATCGGCCATTACCTACTGGATTCCGCAAATAGCAGTGGGAGTATCGCACCCGATTCTAATTATTTATCAAAATACAAATTGTCATAGAAATGAATATTTGGAAATAATGGCCTAAAAGGATGAATTGCTTGTCTGCGAAAGAGTCTCGGAAGTGTTGGGACGCGTTCTTGAAATGCGCCATGCATTTAACTTCGATCGAAATCAATTGGCAGCTTCATGTACGCATTTTGTCACGATGACTTGCACGACGACGGTCCATTGTTTTTTTATTTGATTCACTGATATATCAGCTATTAATGCCTTTCAATTTTTTTTTCATTTGTTTGTTACATTTTCCACTATTTCGTCCGACCAACGGCATTCGAGAGGTCAGCAAATATAGCGCAGCCAATTAGGTAGGCAATCCGAGCAGTACAGCATGACGAGGTCATGCGAAAGCTCTATTAAATTGCTTAAGTAAAAAAATACTAAATGTGCTCTACATAAAGGATAAAGGATAAAGGCATATGCCGTTGATCAATCCCTTTTTGGATTCTACTTCCATTTGTACATTCGCAGTGGCTTTTGAATGCGATGTGGCCTATACAATGACTTGCGGGGGCCAGCCGATGTACAAGTCAGTTTTTTTATCCTCCCAGACAAGTCTGGTACCAATTAACCGACCCCGGAGGGATGGAAGGCTTGGTTGGCCCGGGCGACTCACGACCCAGGATTTGATCCCGGACCGCTCGCGTGGTGAGCGCGCCACTTGTCACTACACCACTTCCGCCCCTCTGTTACATGGGTCACATAAATCATTGGACTCACCATAAAAAGAAGCATAATAAAACAGTTTTTCACTTTTAAAAGACCTCCCCTGAGATGCGCCAAGAACTCAACCCCGTTTGGGGTTGTGGAGACATTGACACTTATATCCGAAATCACTGATAGCCTGCCATAACTAGTCATGCTAACTCGTTGGACCAGTCGAAGGAACACACGTCTCAAGCACTTTGTACGGACTCATGACGGGCACGGGCAGTTTGTCCTTGCACCCATTGCAATTCACATTTCCGCGGCAGGCGAATTCATTTCTTGTGTTTTGTATTCATTTGCGGAAAAATTCTTTAGCGTAGGTACAAATATTGTGGCCCACAGAATGGCCACTCATGCTTCAATTTAGAGGAGGATTTCTGAATTTCACAAAATCTTCAGTTTGTTTAATTTTTTGTTTTCTTATTCTTTTCATGAATGAGAAGATGAAACGAGTAGAAGAGGTAAATACGTAACCTAAAAGGATGGCAAGATATGTGTTTTGATTGAAACAAGCAAGGTTAAATTGCTGACGCCCACATGCTACTATGTCTGGAAAATTTTGCATTTTCATCATTGCTTCACTTCTTTCGATCGAATTTACACTGTCTACCCCTGGGTATCACTTCTACGCACTGAAAATTAGTGATCTAATTTGGTATTAGTCATCTTTCGTGCATGTCTTCAAAATCCGCTTGAGTAACCTGAGGCGGCGTCTCGGCCCATTGCGCTGCGCGGTCCCACGCGGCCAAAAAAGCCAAAACCCGCGTTGTCGTCAGCGTGTTGAAGGAATGCAAAAGTCCTATGTGAAAAAAGAGTGACTGATCCTGGTTCATACGTTTCACAAATGCTAAGTGATACCTGCAGTTACTCTGCCACTTCCGCTTCATCAAACGCTTCGATGAAATGGATGTGAAATCAAATGTGAATGCATCCATAGTATTCCAAAAAAAGTCAACAACTTGGTTCCATCTCTTCCCAGCAAGGGTTCCTAAACACGCAAGAGAAGAGCAACTATCGTAAGATCGAATCTCAGTAGCCTTTTCGGAATTGCAACCAGTGAGATTCGTCAGGTAGGCATTTACGAAGATACTGTAATTTTACAACGTCTCACTCGGTCCTGCGGTATTTTTTTTGGTTTTGTCATAGTTATGAGTCAGAGGGCATACTGTTGAACCTGTTTTCCCTTCAACTGATCTTTTCATACATACTTTGCTCACATTCGTATAGGGTTCATTGTGACCGGAACGCTTCGAGCGTCAGGAAGATCAATTATGCAAAATCGGAAGCGGGTCTTGAATGCAAAGCACGCACAAGAAAGGTCAATTTCTCCGGAAATGTCTTGAGACCATGGAGTTAGAGAAGTGCTCTTGCTCGGGAAATTAGCCAACATGGAACATAATCGGAACTAGACGTTTTGATTCCTGTTGTTCGACTGACTGCTGCTTTTCACTCACATGAGAGGGCAGGGGAGTTTTTGGCGCACTTACGGACTTCCTCCTCTTTCTTCAGTTCTCTGAATTGGACGGTTTATTCCGAACGGAGAGTAGGATACTCGTGCATGGATGATTCAACTTATGTGGTCTATCAAGTCATTCTTCCTTCCACACATTCTCTTGCTCTCCTTGTACTTTACTTCCTTTCCTTTTCGATGTCTCATATGACGTTGTTGAACTGTTCGGGGAAACAATGAGACATCCCTTAGTCTGCAAAAAGGACTTGCTTGCTTCATAGGACTCCTTGAAAACGCACGCGCAATAGTATAATAGGGGAGTATAGATATACAGGGTGTTCCATAAATACTGCAACACATTTTGAGCTTCAATTGTGTGGGTGTCTGTAGTCTTTTTCCCAAGGTTGGCATACCTTCACTTCCTATGACCTCTTGTGAATAACCTTGCCGAAGTGCACGGCTTACCATTCGTTGTACATCTCATGGTGCATCCTAAACCTCCAAGAGGTCCTAATCCCTCATACAGCTAGGTCGGACATCCGGTGATGAACATCGCGCTTCTTTGGGTTTTTG